ACCTCTCCAGCCTGTCCAGGTCTGTGCCACAGAAAGGCCAGGCCTTCTCTGGTCTCCTTTGGGCTTCCTCAACATTTCCCACTTCCTGTCTTGGCCCCTGTTCTGAGCTCTGCCTTCATGGGCCTTCCTCACCTGCGACCTCACGCTTACCATTCCCACCAAGGGCCCTGATTTCTCCCATGGGAGAAATCACCATAACCCCATGATCTCCCATCGCTGCTCCTTCCTCTCTCAGGGTTAACAGCCCCTTCTGATGCTGTGGTTTCACAGATAATCCCTCAGTGCTCAGCCCCATAAGGCACTAGATGGAGGGCTGCTTTCCTCAGAGACTGGGGAGTCGCTGATCCACACGGCAGGAGCGTGGGCAGCATTTCCCAACTGGGGGTCCCATTAGATAAGAGAGACCACTCCCTGCTGGAGTGCTCGGCCAGCACAGGGCCACAATGGCTACCTTTCCAGAACGTACTCCCAGAAGGAGCTGTCCCTCAGGACACTTTTAAACCTCCTAAAGTGACACAGGATACCTCAAGGGCGTGCTTTGTTTTGGTCCCAGTTATGATCCTCCAAAGAGGGGAGAGTGCCGGGTCATGCCATATAGACCCTGTGCCAGGCTCCCAGTGACACCGAATTGGAAACCCTCTCTTAAAAACTGTAACAGGGTGATGCTAATTTTTGCAATTATATGCCATATTGAAGGATATTTGATGTTCTCCTAAAGTCCCAGAGTTGCCTTTAAGAAAAAGAAAAAAATAGAGGAAGAAAGCATGCAGAGAAAAATACCAAAATGTGACCCCAATGGAAGGGGAACAAAAACTCCCTTCCCCTAAAGAAAGAAATCCTCAGCATTAAACCAGTGTCACAATTTACAGGTGCAGGCTTCCATCTGAAAACACTTAGATAGTAACTGCAGAATTTCTTCTTTTTCTTCTTTAGAGATGAAAAGCTTTCAGTTTGACAGAGGAGAAAAAACAGCCCAGTGTTTCTACCCTCTTAAAGATACAGCATCTGAACTGAGAACAAAATGATAGCCTAGCCTTGCAAACCCAGAAATTAGAAGGCACAGTTCACAGAAAACACACGTATCTCTTTCACAGCTGCATACACACTGCTCCCTAATTCTAAGCAATTCAGTCCCGTGAAATGTCTCTAGGATCTACCGTAACAAATATTGAAACTACAATTACCTCAAGGGTGATTGTTTCCACTTGAACATTTGGAGGCATGGCCAGGTTGGGTTCGAAGTGCTTCGCTATTGCAACCAGAAGATGCAGCGTGCTCAGTAAGTCCTTCGACAAGATAGCTGTTCCGTGCAAAGAAAGAAAACCATGCTTAGCGTGCAAAACAAGCAAACCTCACTCTAGCATCATATTCTCCCTATGCAGAGGATCCCAAAGTCATGGAGGGCCATGATACAGGTGGGACATCAGACTGGGGTTTACGTATCACAATTCAGAAATACCACACCTTAAAAGTCCTTTTTGTGAGGCACACACACAGATGCCGTGGGCTGTTAAGTGGTCCACAAACCACACAGAGGATGCAGCTTGCGTGACCCAGTCAAGGTCACATATTCCTGTCTCACTTCTGAGTCAACTAGTAATTAAAAACAGGTGGTTTAATTATTGTTCTGGCACCACTTTGCCTCACAGCAGCTTTATGGCAGAGGAAGCCCCATGATGGATAATTTTCTCAAATTTTGCTTCTGCACCTACATTCTACACTCCATTTCAGCTGACTTTCTTCCAGCTGCAAACACTTAGCCACAGCTTGCAGAATCACAGAGACTTTCTGTCGCTGTTTGTTTTCTGTCAATGCGATCTTGTCGACATCCAGCTTGAGAGATCCTAGTTTCTCTTTGACACGGAGTCCACAGGAAGGAGAAGGACGTGTTTTAACATCACCATAGGAAAATAAATTAAAAAACAATCAGAAACATAAAATGAGAGCAAAGCACACAAATTTAATTTTAAGTGTTCGATACCACTTAATAGCTTCCACAGACCCACATCCCACTGCTGTATATGCCTTGTTAGATTCAGCAGCTCTCCAAAAGCCTCTGTAAAATTAGTGAAGCTCTGCAAAAGAAAGAGGACTCAAGTCACTCCTTCCAGCATCAGCCCCCAGCCCTAGCACGCCACGTTCCTCCTTTTCCTAGTGGAAGCTTCAGGAATCCAAGTGAACCTTTCCTGCAGACAGCTTCCCTAGGCTGTATCAACTGACATACACAGACGAAATTCCAGCTCATTGCTCAGGCAAATGAACCACGAAAATATGCCAATCCCGTTTGCACTGCTGCCCTCATCTTTGGTGAAAAGGAGGTATGACTTGAAAGACATCCCCACAGAAAGTGAAAGGGAAAAGAAAAATTCAGCAGGGACAGGAGAGATGGAGAAACAGACCAACGGGCTGTTCCAAGAGAGCGCACCTTTATACAAGCACCTCGTAGCACAGAAAGCCTCTCAGATTTTCATCAATTCCAGCCCAGTGCTTTAGATGTACTTCTTTTATTTCTTTTTTTTTTTAAAGATTGAAAACATAAATTATAATGCCGATTCCATCCAATGTTTCTGGTAGAAACACAAGTGAACTATGTGCTCCTGGCTTATGAAGCTCTCGTTCCCTCCAGAAACATTGTAATTTCCTACTTCAAAGTTAACCTTTTTATTATGTTAATTAGCAGGTAAAGAGACTTTCTTAGGAGCAAAGTTACATAAAAAATGTAGATACACAGAATGGTTTGGGTTGGAAGAGACCTTCAAGCTCATCGAGTTCCAACCCCCTTGCCATGGGCAGGGACACCTTCCACTAGACCAGGTTGCTCAGTCGCCACTTCTCCAGGCAGATCCCCAGTAGCGGATCACTCGGAATTGCAGTTATCCGAGATGGCTCACGGTGCAGTGCTTTCTGTGTTAGCAAGACTCCAGCAGATCACTGCTACTGCGACTCATGGGCTTTCTTCTCTCATCTGGAAGTTCTCCCGTGACGTGTTTGCAAGCTAATCTCAAGAAGAGCAGCTTACCCAAAAGATGATGAAGTACCAGCCCATCGTACAGATCTTCTTCCAGACTTTTAACTACTATGTGTTCCTCTTTCAGGGTTGTGTTAATCCAGTCGATCAGTAACTGCGGAGGAAAACAAAGCAGTTGGCAACGACCTTCTTGTTGTTTAGACAGTAGAGCACTCAGTGCTGTGTTTCACCTTTCGCTTTAGTCCCTTCTCTCACCGCTTGGTTTGCCTTCGACCTCCACTTCCTTTGTGCTTTTTGGCTGTTTTTCTTAAAAGGAAGTTAAGTATCAGTTAGTTCTCCCTATTTTTTAAGTGCAATAGAAGTCTCACGAGTTATGTTCCTATGAATTTTGTAGAAATAGTTATACAGGTGGAGAGACAGACCCTATTCCCATTTCCGCCAGGAGAAAGGCTGGACTTTGCAACCCCTGCCTTCATCACACACCACAGAGTGCACATGAATTCAACTGTCAGACAAATTTTGTAAGAGAAGAGGCTTCACGCACTCTGTTGGTTGTTTCCTGTAGTCATTCACGTTACTGGCACCCCTCCCTTTCCTCTCCTATTTTTGCTTTCTTTTTCGTTCTGCAATTTTGTACTAATCTGTCTCCAAATACCTTTAGCAGCGGGGAAAAGCACTTTGTTTATGCCACTTTCGTACATGGCAGTTCTCCCATCGCCCTTTCCAATATCCTTCCTGTCTTTGCAAGGGGAAGCTGCTCAGGAAACCAAGGGCTGGCTCCCACTGGAAAGGAACCACGTTCCCAGTTACATCCCTTGGCCCTGCAGAGCCCGTTCCTTGAGCACTGTGCTCCTACACAGGAGACCAAAGGAGCTCCTTAGCACTTCCGCAAGCATGTGCTTTATCCACACAGACTGCCAGGAAGGGAAGACGACCGGCTGAAGCAGAACTGAAAAGCAGTAGCCCCAGCTGGCTGTTAGCAAGAGCCTCTTGCAAGAGGCATGGGTATTGCTTGTATCGCTGTTATTGCTACAAGTGAGGGTCTGGAGTTTGTTGTATGGATAATATCTTTCTCACCTGCTGTAAACAGAGGAGAAAATTCACAGCAGATCCCTGTAAGTCAGCCAACATTAACAAAAATATAAAAAGCAGTTTCGGGGAAAAAAAAAAAAATAAACAACTCTCAGATTCTTGAAACTGCAAAATAAAAAAAAATAATGCCTGGCACCATCACTTGCCTGAACTGAGAATGTGTCAAAGTGTTTGTAATACACTTCTCAGCTAGGAAGTCACAAGAATTTTCTGGAGCAGAAAGCTATGCTCCTCAGCGAACGCTTGACAGTTAAGACTTAGTGATACTTTAGATGGGTGAGGGATAGAGTGGTACCCCAGACGTAACGGTAGAACCAGAGGGAAGTCAAAAAAAGCAGAAAGCCCTGTCAAGTACGGATCTGAGATGCCTTGTTTGCTATCTCAGCTCTAAACAGCCCCATCCACAGACTGCAGCTCACACAACTCTTCTTTCAGTCCAGTCGTCACAGCCCCACTCAGCTGCAGAGCAGTGTTACATCTACAAATGAGTAAATAGGGAAAGGGGAAAAGGAATACTTCAAGAAGTTTGCTGTTGGCTTCCAAATGTAACCATCTTCTATTTTACACGCAGTTTGGTATTTATAGTAACTACAGCGAGCCATTTCACACTCCTTAGCTCCCCAGAGCCACCTCAGAAGGAAAATGCAGTGGAACAGTCTTCCTCCCAAACGAGTTTCTTTGCTTCTCATATTCTTCCCTTGAAGATACTTCCCTCCCATCCCCTCCATCCCAATCTCTTCTCTAGAGAAGCCATAAACTCTTTAGATTAAGAAGGCAATCAGTGGCACCGATGGGCATGCAGAGGACTGCCTCCCTTGGGACTCAAATTTCCACCTCTTCATCACCTGAAGAAAAGAAATTGGGTGGTGAACACCACTGTTTCAGGAGTCTCTGACAGGAAATGGATTAAGCACTGAAGCTCACAGAAATCTTCATAAACTGAGGAAAGCTCTTCATTTTTGGCAGTCAGGGAAGAACAAATTCAGTATCTCTGTAGACAACATAATTGCATTTTGCAACATCACCTTTCAGATAGTTTCTTTTGTATAAAAACATCGTGAAAGCCTGACACAAAAATTAAATCTTTTTGATCAAATGTGCACGATGGTTTAGGAAAACATAATATAGAAACACACATATTTATGGATTTATGAATGCCATATAATACACCCATCAGCACAGAGCCTAAGCTGGTTTTCATAATATTTATAACCATTTTAAGTGTCTCCATAACACAAAAAGTGCTGGTCTCATAAGAGACATGCCACTTTTCTTCCAGGAAATGCCAGCATGCCAGCCTTCCCCTGGGCTGTGCCATTAGAGAAACACGGTCATTGAATGCACAGGGGAGATTTTCAAAATTGCTCGGAAATAAAGTACTTTCCCATGAAATAGGATTCATCCTTCACAGTTACCTCAAGCAGACAATGAACCATACAACAGCTTGAAAGCTTTTCTCCTGAATTCTTGGTGACTTGCACACCCTTCATCCCTTCTCCCGCTGCTCTACGCTATCCTTGCCAGACTGCACCGCAGCCAAGCCAGCTGCCACGAGAGATAGAAGACAAGACACAAGACTGTTGCAAATCAGCTGCAAATCATCTTGCACAGCAATATGGAAACTTGTTATCACGGAACAGGGCAGCAAACTCGTGTGCATTCAAATGCCTCTCTTTAGTCACAGCAAATGCTGACATGGGTTTGCTTTCGGTCACAGTCCACAGTTCCAGTTGGATTCAGTGCTGTTACACTATCATTACAATGAAGTAGCAACTGAGTATTTCCAGTGTGGCTCATCCACACATCCCAAGTTAGAAGAATTATAGAATGGTTTGGGTTGGAAGGGACCTTAAGGACCATCCAGTCCCACTCCCTGCCATGGGCAGGGACACCTTCCACTAGACCAGGTTGCTCCAAGCCTCATCCAGCCTGGCCTTGGACACTTCCAGGGATGGGGCATCCACAGCTTCTCTGGGACACCTGCCCCAGTGCTTCACCACCCTCTCCGGGAAGAACTTCTTCCTGATATCCCATCTAAACCTCCCCACTTTCAATTTAAACCCGTTACCCCTTGTCCTATCACTACAGGCCCTTGTAAAAAGTCCCCCCCAGCTTCCTTGTAGCCCCTTCAGGCACTGGAAGGTGCTATAAGGTCTCCCCGGAGCCTTCTCTTCTCCAGGCTGAACAAGCCCAACCCCCCCAGCCTGTGAGGAGAGGCATCGTATAAGAAGAAACTCAGTTTTTAAATCTACGCTCCACTTTACACACAGCAGTGATCACTCGGGTGATGCAGGCATTTGAAGCTTGGTCCTGTATGGCCCCTGCCATCCTGGCACTGTGCCTAAGAGAAACCTCTGGTTTATTTGTGTGGAGCCCAAGTGGCAAAAGCAGAACTCATCCTCATCTGCAGAGAGTGGGGGACTAGGGCCAAAGACTTGTGTTAATGCTCAGCCCTGTAAACTACCCTGTGGTGGGAGTTAAACAATATAGTAAAAGAAATGGTACCAGCTTTAATTCTTCCAATTTGGGATTGTTCTTTGAGGTCAGTTTTATGAATTTCTTCTTCTCACCTATGAAATGAAGCAAACAAGATCCATTACAATTATCAAACATGACTTTGCTGTAAAATCTGCTGTTAGTTTAACATTATCTAATATCACTACTTGCCATATGTAGAGACACTGTCTTTTTTTATTTTAACTGATTCCTTATGAGTGGTATTTTGCTAGCCAGAGTTGAACCACGACAGTGAGAAAACGATATAGCAGATCATTAAGGTTTTTATTGAAAATTATGCCTCAGTGTAATTCAAATCAGTAAGATCTAGACAGACAATTCTGGAAAGAAGAAAACAAACTTGGTCAGAACTTTATGTGTGAAATTTAAATGTCAGTTAAAGAACCAGCTAGCATTTGTGTTGCTTCTTCATGATCTGCCTCTAGAGAGGCAGCCAAATTACATACAGCTTACTCACTGCTGATAAAACCATGGAAGCACTGCTGAAAAATACACAATTTGTTTGTACTGCACATTTTCTGCTCGGTTCCTCCGGTCGTTCTTTGGACCTTTCTCCATCCTGGTTCATAAAGTACATACCTAGAGCGATGACATTCTCAGCTAGGATTTGATCAAGCGCAGCAGGCTGTGTAAACACATTTAAAAAGTCAGGATCCATTGTCTTTTCTGACTCCTGGTAAACTGGTAAGATATATGGGGAGGGGGGAGGAACATGAGTAAAGGCAAGTGAAAATCAAAATTAGTGCTAAGAAGAAAAGACACAAACTGAAGGGTTTTCTTCAGTTACTATTTCATGATTGGTGGATAGTTTTTTTTAAAAAAAAGTTCTGAAAGTGTATTTAAATGTGTGTAAAGAAAATGAACTTAAAACAGCTTTCCTTCTTTCTGTTAATCACCAAAATATATGAAAAAAAGCCCTGAAGTATTAAAACTTGCCTTAATTCCATCTAATCCAGTCAAGTCCACAAGACTAAAAATTTAGGATGCCTTAATTTGGCAAAGACTAAAACTCAGTAAAAAGTTACAGATAGTAGAATATGAATAGTCTCTTTTACTAACTGTACTATAGGATCATAGAATCATTTAGGTTGGAAAAGACCTATAAGATCATCGAGTCCAACATTAACCCATCACTGTCAAGTCCACCACTAAACCATGTCCCTCAGCACCACGTCTACACATCTTTTAAATCCCTCCAGGCATGGTGACTCAACCACTTCCCTGGGAAGCCCATTCCAATGCCTGACAGCCCTTTCTGTGAAGAATTCTTTCCTAATGTTCAATTTAAACCTCCCCTGGTGCAACTTGAGGCTGTTTACTCTCATCCTATCACTTGTCACTTGGTAGAAGAGATCAACACCCACCTCGCTATAACCTCCTTTCAGGGAACTGGAGAGGGCTCCCCTGAGCCTCCTCTTCAGG